CGGGCCCGCGGTACTTTTAGTTATATAAGGCCACGATAGACCGTTTACATGTTAGAAGTGTGGTCTAGCCTGCTTGGATGTAACGTGAACTTTGTTAAAACTAGACGTTCCGAACCAGGCAATCATCAGATATCAATTTCCTCAGCGTGATCCTGTGCAGATCAGGACGCGGCGAACTTAATTAAGGAAATGGGTCTATTGAATTTAGAAAAAGGCAAGGAAACATAAAAATATCTAATATCATGGTGACCAAGAGACTTTATATCCCCCGCCACAGAGAGCACAGGAGCCTTTTGTCTCAAAGAGAAGCGAGGAAATATAAATTCAGATCGCCTTATCCATCTGAACAGAAGGGAAAACCTTATGGGAAACAGACATAAGAAATGAGGCCTCACCTCCGGCTGTGACTGAAGCAAAATGTTGCAAGCATTTAATCATTTGCAATTAAGAAAATCGGGCTGGATGAACGCTAGCCTCAAGAGAGTAGTCAACGGAAAGAGACGAATCTAACTGTTGCTGTCTTTGCAACAAACGAAGCACGATTTACTATATAGGTCAATATCAACGTGCCGTTATCAGGGCTCGCGCCATTATCAGAGCCATATTCCGAGTTACGAAGTGTGTAATGATGGAACTGCTTTGATCGTCCGGCAATTGTCCCGTCGCGACGATCGCCTCGGGATTGCGCAAGCTTGCAACAATATCGAAATCAGTTACTTTGAACTTGCCTAAAACTACTGTCCAGCGCACAGCCACGCTCGGTCCGGTCACGCAAAAGGAATCTTGTGGTTTGCGCAAGATCAGCGTGAATGTTGAGAGGGAAACCGCTCGCTCCCTCCGTCTCCAGCTCACACTCACAGCAAAAACGATTTTGATCTGTTGCTAGATAGATCTTTGAACACAGATATTCGCATGTGTGTTTGTAGTTATATTTGCTTGTCTGTAAAGGTCCTCTGTGTAAGTTGAGAGAGAGAGAGAGAGAGACAGAGAGAGAGAGAGAGAGAGAGAGAGAGAGAGAGAGAGAGAGAGAGAGAGAGAGAGAGAGAGAGAGAGAGAGAGAGAGAGAGAGAGAGAGAGAGAGAGAGAGAAGGTGCGGGGGAATCAATTATTTACTGAAAGTTTTCCCATGAAAGTGCAAAGGGCGTCTCATGAATGGGCAAGCGGGCAGTAACCGCATGCGATCTCTCGTTCTCCCCTTCCCCGCCGTAATTCCGTTTCCCTCCCCACGTTGACGCCTACAGCAGCCCCTGTCCACACATCCTCGCATAAGATGGTAAATTGCAATCTGATATAGACGCCGAGTGCTTCTAACTGTGCACTGGTTCCGTAATCTGCCAACGAAGAGCGCGTAACTATGATTCGCTGCATCAGAACGCGTAAATGGCTACCAGGCTACCGCCGTCGCTGCTGGTGCTTCCTGCTTCAAGCAGAGCGAAGAAACTAGACTTGTTCTATTACTGGCGATCAAATACTATCCGAATGCCTGTGTTTTTGTCCCACGTGCTGAGACCGACTCGGGCGAGATCACATTCACAGAAGTCACGCCTCGCGTAGATCGATATCATAGGAATGCCACAAAAACTGCAGCGTGCGGTCCGGTGTCTGGCTTTCGTGACATGTGAGAGTTCCGGCTGCTCATCGTGCCCTCGCAGCCTCCCTCCATGTCCCCGCCCGTCCCTTGCGGCGCCTCTTAATGGAGATTATTATCCCGTGCCCCATGACGGGCGTCTGTGCCCTGGTGCTTCAGGACGGGAATCCCGCCGCAGCTGCCGATGACGAAACAAGTCGAGTCAGATCAGAACGATCAGCGGCTGTCATCTTTCCCGGCCAACGAATTCCGACTCCATCGGACAAGATAATGGCACAGTAGTGCTTAGGAGGAGAGTCATATCCTGATACCCCAGTGCCAGTAAAACGTCTAGCTTTCGAGGTTTTGTTATGGGGAACAGTGGTTCCGTAAAGCTGATTTTGCGTTAAGCAATACCCAGTTATATGCCAAACAGCCAAAAAGTAGGCAGAGTTTGCACCGCTGACTCTAACTGGCACATCTGCATAGGCCTCATACATGAATTAGGTGTCTCCCGTAACACTACAGTACTTGAACACAACGAGAGCCAACTAAATCTTCATGCCAGATAAAGCCCTGCAATATCAGTTGCACGTATCCGCCTTGCAAATGGTGACTATGGAGGCACCCCAGCTTGCTTCAAGTGTCCTGCCCTGGTGGCGAGGGACGCCGCCAAGGGCACGTAAGCCATAACGAAGGCGCTGACAATATGTTTACCTCAACCGCCGCTCGAGGAATCAGGTTAGTCTTATCGCTGGAAATACATATCATTTCTAGCTGCTCTCTTCTGAATTTCATATTTCTATATTGCAAGCAGAGGGCTTCACAAATCTACTTATTTTTCTCTTAATAAATGATGACTTGGTGTTATTTACTCGCTTGTACCCAATGAGTGACACTGTTGACGGCAAAAGTAGCTGCCGACGTTGTATT